CTCACAGTGGAGAATATTTTCAGGCAGTAGACGATGCCAGCATATTATCAAGCTTTGGATACAACGTTAGACTAGATGGCATCCAAGACAACACCAAACCTGAGATTCCAAGTTAACAGTCTAGCATTTGGTGTAACAGTAGCATCGTGAAAGCGAACACAACAAGCCCCCATTTTTATTTGGAGGGTAAAACTGATTAATGATCATTTATATGGTGTTTTATCGGTCTCAAGTTTTAGGGAGCGGCTGCTCTACATCCCATCTTGGTAAGGTGTCTGCACTTTGCTTCCTGGGTAACCTTCTTTTAATGGGTACCTGACTCTATCAAAATACTATGAACTTTTGCACTTTTGTTTTATCTCTCTTTGTACCATGTCTAGAATCATATCAGTACTGTCTTGCCTGAAGAGCCAAAGAGGTTATGTTAATGTTACAGAGGTAACATACGCCATTAAGAAGTCTCTTCACTGGGGCCTTCCTCACAGCTGTTTGTTGCAGTGAATTCAGTGCCGGCGCTGGTTCAGAACACTGAGGTGAAATCATCTCACTAGTTGCAATGACTGAGCGCTTCACTTTCTCTATTTTGCCTTGACTGTCTTATATTTAGACTATGGGTGATAATATTACCACCTTTACAAAATTGTTTGAATAAATGTGATCATGAGTGCAAGAACTCCTTACGTTTTGCAGGTTTTCATTAAGTATTCACAAGAGTAGCACCTTAAACAAATATGTGAACATTTTAGATTTATATAAAAAGATGAACTTGTGATAATATTTGACTTTGCAGTTCTCCCAGATACATCAAATCTGATCTGATTTTAGAAATTTCTTTCTTAGCAAATTTCTTTAGTGAATAAAGGGAAGAAAAGAAACGTGTGTCCAATGAGAAAAATATTCCTGGGACAGATCTAGGTAAGACTCTTCCAGACTCTTTTATAAAATCCTAATACAAATGCTTTCTCTCTTATTTATATCACCAGAAAATTTGCTGTAGTTCAATTTTCTGTAGTCCAGACAGTTATAAGTTTTTTTGTTGTTTTAGTTTT